AGATCGTCAAAGACAGATCAGTTAGCAAGGAGTTGCTCGCTCCACATCCAAGGTAATGCAAGTGAAAAATGCAAACTAAAAGCAATGAAGCAATACCTTGCACTTCGTCCAGCGGGTTTGGTTTTTCCGTTTTGCCATGGGAACTGTCAACCTTTAACAAGATACCAGTTTGCAGCTATGGTTTCCAAATGCATCAGATATATGGGACTCGACCCATGTAAAGTTCAAGTCACACTCGTTCTGCATTGGAGCTGCCACTTCTGCCGCCAAAATAGGCGTGTCATCGGAGACAATACAGTTGTGGGGTCGATGGAAGTCTAAGGTGTACTCAACTTACATTAGACTCTAAACTTTGGATGCACAGTCAATACCTTCAGGCAATTTGATATTCATAAATAATTATTATTCTTCCAGATGTATGGATAATAGGCTCCTCATTCATTTATTTGGCTCATCGTCAATCATTGAGGTTGAAACTGGGAAACAATCTAAGGTTACGATTTCACTGGTTTGGAAAGCGGGGCATGAAGTGGTCAGAACTCTTGCAAGTCGTGCAGACACAATTAGGCCGTATACCTCCCCCAAGTCTAATACTCTTGCATTTGGGATCAAATGATTTTGTTGACCAGAATATTGGTTCCCTTGTTTGGAATGTTACTGATGGCATCTACTACCTGACTCAACTGCTACCACGGTTATACTGGCATGGAGTTGTCAATCCAAAGGTCGTCACGATATGGCTGAAATACTGCCGATGTGACGTTAAATCTTAACTCACTCTATCACTCAATCCAAAGGCAATAGAGAGGGCTCGACGTCGACTGAACCGAGCTGGGTTCAAAGCAGTTTTGCATTGGGGTGGCCACTGTATTTATAACAAGCTTACCATGTCTGAAACAGAATTTTTCCGCCATGATGGCGTACATCTTTCTGAAGTGGGAAATGCATTGTTTGTGAACACTTTACAAGAGGCTTTTCAGCACTTCATGGCAGATACTGAAGTAAAAAGTAAGGTGTTTTTGGCTAATTAATCTCCTACACCATAACCAATATAACAGTTATCACAGTACAAGTATTGGAGGAGATGTGTATAGACACATCTCGTGGCGTAACACTTCTGGGCTGGGAGTATTGATTTTGGTGTTTTGGGGGTCTTTGAGGCATACCCTCTAGGCCCTATTGCATAATGGTGGTTGTAGAGCCTACAGCAGACCCCCTATGCGCTTTTCCCTGGGGGGTCCCATCATTTGGCTCCGTATGGTTTGTACCCTCGGAGCCGCGTTTGCTGTTCTGTCCGGGCACCTTTGGGTTGACAGTCAGCCGTGTTTAGCGTTTCTCCAGTCCTTGTACTTTTCTGTATATAAACCTGTTGCCTTACATCCAACTCAAGTCTTTGTGTTTTTTCTTGCAATGGTGCAGCATTTACTTCTGCTAAAGCATTATCCTCAAATAATCTTGTTTTTATTGTATTTTAGATCTGATTTGATTTGATTTCACTGAAGTAGCAAAAATGTTCATAAATGTTGTTTGTTCATGTTCCAAAGTAACAATTTATTCAGTTACTACAACATTTAACAAAGATAAGCAATATATCTCAGCAATTATCACAAAGGCAGTGTGCAACATAATACACTTTGATTCAAACTTTAGAAATTGGATTAAGGAAGTGTTTTTTCTTGCGACATAGATGCATGGGATAGATGAACGACAATCTGAATCTACTTTAAGGAATTTGACAATCACTAAGTTACCTTATATTTACACCTCCACTATAACGAATGTATTTAAATCAAATTCATCAGTGAATATTTTAAAAGGCAACATATTTGTCGAATGGCAAGAACTTGTCTCTGGCCAGAATGTATACTCAACAACAAAAGATCCTGTGACACCAATATTTTAGTGTATTTTTCAAACCAGTAAAGTTTGGTTTTAAATATTGTAGTAGAATCAAGTCACAAAAACGTAACTGCTACATGAAAAAGCAAGTATTCCATGCAAAAGTTGACTTTTATGCAAGCCCTATGCATTTCACTACCCAAGAATGGGTATAAAACATGTGCGTTAACGGGATTCCATATGCATTGTTTAGCATCGTGCTGATGACAACGGTTCAGAAAAACAACAAAATTACGCAATTATTCAACATTACTAAAAGCCACGCCTGTCCGAAAATGAGCGTCTGCGAGCCATTGGTATGCTTGAAGCAGGATCGAGTCAACATGATGTTGCCAGACAATTAAACGCCCACAGAAACACCTTTTGGTGTTTATTGCAAAGTTGGCAACAGACGAATGAAGTCAGAGACCATCCTCGGAGTGGCAGGCCACGCGTAACCAATAATCGACAAGACAACTGGATTCGAACAACACACCTACGAAATCGATTCCAGCCAGCAACAGTGACTGCAAGAAGCATCCCTGGCCTTCGAAAATGTTCACAAACCGTACGTCGGCGCCTCAGATGTGCAGGGATTTTCGCCAGAAGACCCGCCATTTTGACAGGAAACCACCGTCAAGCATGTCTACAGTGGTGGAAACAGCGTCTACGCTGGACGGCCATGCAGTGGGGAGAAGTTCTATTCACTTACGAGTCTCGTTTTCACCTCAGCCACAGCGATGGACGGATTCGAGTGCACCGACGTCGAGGTGAACGTTATGTCAATCATTGTGTCATGGAAGAAGATCGGTTCGGGGGCGGCAGCGTTATAGGTATGGGGTGTGATTACAGCAAGACCCGTTTGATAGTGGTAGAGGGAAATCGCAATGGACAGCGCTACCGCGTTGTTCTACCGGTTTTGCGTCGTCATGGCCCAGGCATCACCTTTCAACAATACAACGCCCGGCCTCATATTGCGCGACTTGTTGAGGATTCTCTTCAACAAAACAACGTGAATGTCATCCCCTGGCCGGCTCGCTCCCCTGATATCTCACCAATCGTGCACATGTGGGATGCGATGGATCGGCGCCTCCGACGTCAACCACGTGTTCCACAGACACACCAGGAACTACGAAACATGCTCCAGCAGATATGGACAGATATCCCACAGGATTTTGTGCGCCTGGTCCATTCCATGAGACGAAGATGTGTTGCTTGCATCGCAACTAGAGGTGGACACACGCTATTGATTTGTAAATTGACATTTTGGCATGTTCATATTTTTTATGAAATCACGCATTTTCTGAGTGAGTGAGTGAGTGAGTTAAATTTTACATCGCATCGGCAATATTTCAGTCATATAGCGATGGGAACAAGGTATTCGATTTTAAATATCTGTCGACAAAAATAGTAAGGTATATCACAGTTTTTAATAAAACAAACCAGATCATAATTTTTAAAAACCATATAGCTATACATAGATGAAGTCTTATCAATTAAAACATGGCTATAGACCACTAATAACCAAAGCTAAGACCACCTAACTGGGGATCATGGGGACTTAGAGTGCTTTTGATTCCTGCATGATTCCAGCAGGATTTATGCCATCACTTTGGTAACGAGTGGTTGTACGAAATATTAACCAATATTAAAAATCAAAATACAATCAAGGAGTTAAAACACTAGTTGATATTAATTACTTCTATATAGATGGACTCATGTGCCACTGTCAGGGGGACAATAATTTTACACTACTTTAACCCCCTGAGTGGCACCGCCTTCATACATCTCAGTTGACAATAATATCCAAATATTCTAAAACAATTCAACATTTATAAAATAATAGTATTTCTTTTAAAAAACCGAGAATTAAATCAGCACTGATATTATAGAAAAAAGATCCTTTAAAGATGTTGAATGATAATAATTGTCCCTTATGAGAGAAAAATCAACACAGTCAAGTAAAATATGCTTGACTGTGATTCTCTCATCACACGGGACACAGAATGGAGGATCCTCACATTTTAAAAGATACTCGTGGGTATATCGACTGTGTCCAGTACGACATCGTTGCAAAATAACTTCGTCATGTCTCAAATGGCAACCAAAGTAGGTATACCCTATTGTTGGTTTTTATAGCATAAAGTTTGTTTATACCTACTTGGGTGTTCCACCGCATTTTCTGAAGTCAGTGTGGCAAATTAAACCATTTGAACACTTACAGGAGTCTTTTATCTGTTGCAAACCGAAACTGTTTCAGATTTGGTAAAAAAACATAACTTTGCACTAAATCTTATTCAATGTCGCAGGAACTTTTGTTGTTCAGTATGTTATGCGTATGTGTAATATATAGTTTTCTGAACAGCATATTCTGTGTTTCAGCCTCGAGTGACCCGAGTCAGCATCCGAGCCATAGCGAGAGGGTCTCACTGCTCCCAGTGACAACACAAACGTCTGCTTCATAGGGTAGGTGGGAGAACCCAGCAGATGGTAACTTACTCATTAACCCTTCATTCCAACAGTCTCTACAAGTAAGAAGCACATGTACAAAGCCGTGGGGAATCGGTTGCGTTGTCGTAGATCGATGCTCATGATGTCAATCAATTGATTGTCTGGACCAGACTCCATTATTTACAGACCACCATCATATAGCTGGAATATTGCTGAGTACGCCGTAAAACAACAAACATGCTGATATAAAACCAGTGTAATGTCATATTATTCTACTAATTTCAAACAGCAATTGTACGGATATTATCATCTTATAAAGCTCAGGTCAACAAAAGTTGACTCCTGTCAAACAGAGAATAATGATACAACCACTTGATGCAGCAGAAAGATTTTAAACATGTTATACATCATCCTGAATTACATGAACCATCTGTCGTCATTTCTTTAATCGTTGTATTGTTGTCAGACATGTTGGAAGTGTGCATTGGTGTATCAATGTTCGTGTAACGTATCAGCACTTTGAGGTGTGAACAATATTGATGTCTCCATCAACAGCAGTCTGCCGCGACCTCCTAACGCCTGCGAGCATGGGTACCTGAGGACGGTGAGGCAGATCCTGTCAGGGACGGGTAAACATCCTCAACTGTGGATTGAAAGGCACGACACCGTTGATGGAGGCAGCAGAGGAGGGATACAGAGAAATTTTGGAGCTCCTTATTAGTAAGGGAGCTTATGTGTCACTGGTGGGCGATGACTGTGACACCATTCTTCACATAGCCTGTTATGGAGGAGAGATTGAGACGGTGAAGTATATCCTGTTTCTGAACGCAGTGGACTTCAACAAGAGTAGAGGAATGAAGAACAGGACACCGGTTATGGCGGCAGCATACCCCGGATACAGAGACGTGGTGGAGCTCCTTGTGACTAAAGGAGCTGACCTGTCACTGGTGGACGATTATGGTGACACTATCCTTCACTTAGCCTGTCGTGGAGGAGACGTGAGCACGGTGAGGTTTCTCCTGTCTCTGAACGAGGTGGACATCGACGCCAGGAACAAGAAAGGGCGGACTGCGGCCGACATAGCGAGAGAGAAGGGATATCGCCGTGTGGTGAGACTGCTGGTGTCCCGCGGCGCTCACTGAAGTCAATGTAGTGTTTGTGTAGACAGTGACGAACTGTTGGTACCGATAGTGGCGTCGTCGCTCATGTTGTTTATATACTCTTCAAAAAAGGAAACTTGACATAGATGTAAAACCACGTTTTGCCAAATATCTAAAATAATTACATTAAATGAGAACCAAATAAGTCAAACAGAAAGATGATGTGTCTATAATTCGCGAAAACACATGCAAAGCACATAAACGTAGCGTTTGGGGATCAATTTTACAGTTTCATCCAAACGCAACCGCCTGTAAAAAACGTGCAGCACAGGATCCTGCATTTAGGCATGCAGGCCCCCTGCTGAATGGGTATAAAAATCCACATCAACGGCTGATCACACAGTCCTTATAACTGCAGTAGAGGCGATGACAGAATGCCAAGACGGAATGCAGCTCAACGGAACAACGCCATTGGGAGATTACAAGCTGGAGCAACTCAGCAAGAAGTGGCCAGGCACTTTGGCGTATCCAATCTCCGCACTGTGGACCCGATACAACAACAACAACAGAGTTGACGACAGACCAAGGTCAGGAAGACCAAGGGTGACAACCCAAGCACAAGATCGATACATCCGGCTGCGACACCTCAGAGACCGCACTACCACAACCACGTCTACAACCACACAGATCCCTGGGGTACGCAGAATATCAGTTCAAACGGTACGCAACAGACTGAGGGAGGCTGGACTTTTTGCACGAAGACCTGTTCGACGTCATGTATTGACCCCACGTCACCTGGCGGACTGTCTGCTTTGGTGCCAACAGAGGGTTGGTTAGATGGGCACGTGCAAGGTGGAGAAATGTACTGTTTACTGACGAGTCCCGTTTCCTACTCACACGTGCTGATGGGCGCGCACGTGTCTACAGAGTGTCATGGTATGGGCCGGAATTCATCACGGTGGTAGGACGCCTCTCGTGCATGTGCCAGGTGCACTGACATATGTGCGTTACAGAGACTTGAATCTACAGCCTTACGTTCTTCCTCACGTCAACGTTCATGGCGGACAGTTCCAGCAGGACAACGCTCGACCGCATATTGCACGTGCTTGTCAGGACTTCTTACAGAACAACAACATCCAGACATTACCTTGGCTAGCCCGGTCACCAGATTTGTCCCCGATTGAGCATCTGTGGGACGAGTTGGATCGACGCGTTCGCAGAAGGAATCCACCGCCCCAAACACTTCCGGCGCTTCTTGATGCACTTCAGCATGAATGGCAGCACATCCAACAGCGTGTTATTGACAACTTGATTGCATCTAGGGGTCGTCGGTGTCAAGCGGTGATTGATGCACGTGGTGGGCACAACCGATACTGACATTTTCTGTACCCCTGTGATATTAACTGTATCGTGTACGTGTGTCTGTCTAGGTGACACGATTAATATTTTGAACATTGTGTACATTGATCTTCAAACAGTGTTTCAATTATGGTTTATGTGTCCTATTTTGAAACAATCGCATTATATTATTTCAGTTTTAAGATAAAACTGGGTTTTTTTTTGTTTCTGAAGATGAATACATCTTGGTAAAAGATTGTGGCACATTTTGTCATTTGTTATGATTGGAACAATTGGACAATAGACCGATCCAGTCCCGACCGATAAGCGCCGTCCACAAGATGCCGTCCTCGTTTTCGGCGTTTGGGGAGACAACCACTGGCTATTCGCTATGGCGTCACAGCCGGCGAAACCTGAATGCGCGGGCGATGAATTTGGCTCAGAATGCTTTGTTACCAGTCGTGTGTCAAAAATATCTAAATAGAGTCATATATGATCTGTTTTGGGTTCTATTTTAGTTGTCAAATTGCATATCGGGGGTGAGAATGAGTCATAAGTCCGATGTAATGGTGTATCGGTCGATGAGGAAGTCACCATGGCTGAAAGTTAGAAGCGTGCACTACTTCGAAGCACTCATGTCAGGCAGAGCATACTATATTGTCAATTTACAGCATGTCAATAATATATTATTTATCCAAGGGCGGAGTAACTAAATTTTGTTCTTACTTTACATCGTAATTTAAGTGTATGGACAGTACTGGAAACCGTAAACACAAGCATGAGTTACATATCCTGTTGATATCTATAAATGGCACTCAGCAATAAATAGATTGTCAACAATTACATTGCTCACGTATTTGTGTCTGGTGCTCTAAGTAAAACCAATATAACCTGAACGGCATCGAGTTAGTGGGTCTTTTTAATGAATAAACATAAAGAAATAGTTGATAAAATCAAAGCAGTACATTATTTCCCCTCACTGGTAGATTGGTTTTTATTATATTATAAATCAATCATAACATATAGATCTATTTTATTTGGCATCGGGAACATGGGGTCGGGCATGTCACCTGGAATAAATCTAGACCTGCTCAGAGGCTGATATTCAGCCCCAAATCTGCATCAGATGTCGGTAAACTGTCCCTCTTCCAACGTTTTAACATATCTATGCCATCCTAAAATAATGCAGAATGTAAGGAAATTATATTATAAGTTTTTTCCCCAATTTGTTTGCCAAGGGCACTTAGTTTGAAATTCTAAATTTAGACATAAATCCGTGGTCACACTTCCATAATATTGGACTTAATAAACTGCCAGTATTTAGGTACATGGATGTGAGAACAGTTGAAAACATTGAGAGGATCCAAGATAAAATGAGCACCTGTAACTGCCATGGTTATATCAAATCAATCGGATCCATGTTCCAGAAAAGGGAAACCTGCGATGGTAAAAGTATCTGAAGGCAGGATCTGCAGTACTTCCCATCAATTAACTTGCATTGATAAAATTTACAACACAAATTAAAATTCATATATGATCTTTTATTCAAAAGACTTGTCATGAATCCAAGAATTATAACTGTTACCAACTAAACATGTAAATTAAGTACAACAAATATCTCATTAGGAAGAGAATTTATGTATGTCAACTTCTTAATTATGAGGAAGACCACCACTATCTTCCTATTATGTATCACTTCTAAATGCAATCCAAAGATTTATATATGTCATAAGTTCAAAGCTTTAATCAAGAAAATGACCTCTTGACATCATGACTGTTACTTACTAAGAAGAAATAATTCTTTTATTGCTCCAGAAACCACATGCCTATAGGACATAACACCAAATAATATATATAACATTTTTAAAATCACATGTGAAGTAACAAGTATTACTTATGCATGAGATCGAATCCGTGGTCTGGTGGTAGAGCGTCCGCCCGGAGAGCGGAAGGTCCGGGGTTCGATCCCCGGCCGCGTCATACCAAAAGACGTTAAAAGATGGTACTTTTCCTTACTCTGTCTGGCGCTAGGCATTAATGGGCTAAAACAAGGACGGAGCTCGGATCCGTATACTGTGTCTGAGTGGGGTATTCATGTTAAACTGCGGCGTGGTATCTCAGTGAGCTAGCACTATAAATCGGCATCAGTCCGGACTAATACAAGCAGCCACACAAACACACACGTACATGCACGTCGCTATATAACTACAATAATCTTGGACGCGACGTTAAACCCCATTTCACCTCACCTACTTCTGCATGAAACAACATAGATTTAAATGCAAATATCAGGTTGCTGGACACCTGGAGTTCATTAGATATTTAAACATATATCCCAAGTATGCTTCGCAAATACTGGTGTGAACACGACTTTTCCTCAAATAAAATAATACACACAAACAGGGATTCAGACCAGTTCCTATTTTAGGTCACTGACTGACTGTCATTAATAATGTCCTAAAGTTGTTCTAAAATTGGGTAAAGTCATATCAAAAGATAAACAAACCACTTGAAATTGTCCTGAAAACAGCAAAATCACTGTGAAGTAAATATAAAAGCCTATTCTCAACATAATCATAACCAAAACTTAATTATCAAATATTGACAATCTCCTCAAATCAAGGTAAATAATTACAATTTTGGTTAAATACATTTCAATATTCACAGGGGGCACGGGCGGCCCAGTCGTCTAAGGCGCCGCGATTCGCTGTGCAGAGTTGCGTCCCTTGGCACGCCAGAAACCTATGATTGTGGGTTCGAATCCCGGTTCGCCCTGATTATGTTTCTAGGTTTATCAGCACTATACCCGTGCTCGTGGGTTTCACCGAAGTGGTAAACGTCTGAGACCTGCATCACTTCGGGCTTTCCTCCCACATTAAGCTGACACGCCGCGATATAACTGGAATAATGTTAAAAGCGGCGTTAAACCCAACTCACTCACTCACTCACTCACTCACTCACTCACAGTTATATATCAGAATTGATCAGGCACTCTGGATAATGCCTGATCAAGAGGTGACAAAGAAATACTGCCTTTGTTATTACAAATTCTTTGTATCTTATAATAAATATCATGCGTTATGATACAGGTAATCACTTTCAACACTATCTTTTTTTAATAATATATTATTTAAAAAGATTTTATTAATATTATGTCCTATAGAAAGAGACAACAAGCTAAGTTTTATATCAGGTGGATATTGTACCATCAAACATTTAGTGTTCGTTAGTGCAATTAATTCATAATAATCATACTTTTATACGGCATCAATAAAATAACTCGTTGGAATAATTATCAATAACTTGATTAGATTATAATTTAGATCATTACTTGACCATGTAACTCTGAGTTCATTAAAAAAACTTGCTATTATTTCCAGTAAATTAATTAAAATGACTCGACACTTCACGGGTCGTGAGCTTTTTGAACTGAATCCATGCCATTGAGGATCATTCAAATCAATGACATGTGCACATGTTAGGTGGACTTTGAGGTGTTCCTTTGTCTCGAGACCCTTGAAGATTCCGAGGTAGAATAGGTCTTCAGCAGCCCATGCTTGCCGTAAAAGGCGACTATGCTTGTCGTAAAAGGCGACTAACGGGATCGGGTGGTCAGGCTCGCTGACTTCGTTGATGTATGTCATCGATCCCAATTGCGTGGATCGATGCTCATGATATCAAGCACTGGATTGTCTGGTCCAGAC